GGGGGTTATATAGAGAGTAGTAAACTACTTATATAACAATATAGTAATTATAAAAAGACTAGATATAACGTATAAACCTATAAGGTAGTTTAGGATACTAATAAAGAATAAGGTAATATATATTTTTAATTAATTTTGTATAATCTAGTTAAATTAAGTTATTAAAAAGATAGAAAGGTAGGTAGATGTACACTACTTACTATAATATACTACTTACTATATATATATATTATAGGTAATAGGTTACTATTACTGTTTTTACTTATACTACTCTAGGCTAATATAACTATGTTAGATATTATTTAAGAAGCTATTATATATTTTAATAAGCCTATTAAATATTACTAACTTATACTATACTTTCTTAACTTCTTTATTTATCTAAATATAAAACTTATTATTATTAATAATAGTAATAAAGTATAAGGTAATTTATTAATAGTCTTTAGGTATAAAGACACCTTAATTAAGAAGGAAGTTATAAAAAATTAATAGTAGTATTTTACTAGTAGTACTAAAGAAGGCTTTATCTTATCTATTAAAGTAATATTAAAAGTCCCTCTAGAGCTTATAACTTATAAGGGTATATTTAGCCTATTTAGCTATATAATAGGTAAAGTAAAAGTAAATAGTAAGAGGGTTTTACTTATTAAGAAGGATTTCTTAGCTATACTTCTTATAGTTAATATATTTTACTATAAAGGTAGGCACCTTAGGGTATAAGGTACTACTAGATTAACTTATTATAAGGTTAATTATTAAGGTTAATTAGTAGTAATTACTATATAACTTTTATAGTAGTAATTAAGTAGTAATTTTCTTTTTAATATAACTTATACTTATAAGTCTAGATAGTACTAGGTTAGTTTTATATATATAAGGTAAATAAGGATAGTTTTCTAAAGAAGTAAATATAAAGATAAAAAGAAAAGTTAAATAAGGTAGTAATTATTACTACTTAAGTGTCTCTTCTTAATAGCGCTATAGTTAGCGTAGAAGAGATTTTTACTTATTAAAGAGGTTCTAATAGTATAATAGACACTATAGTATTTCTTATAGAGGTAAAGTAGCCTTAATAATACTTAACTTAGTTAGTAGTCTACTAGGTTATAGTAGGCTAAGTAAACTCCTATAATAGTAAGCCTTATTAATTACTAGTTATTAGTAATAATTAACTATTAATTAATATTAGTTTTTACTAGTTAATTAATAGGATCCTATATCTTATAATATTATAAAGGTTAAGAAAAGGTAGTTAAATTTATAGTTATTAATAGTTAACTAGTTAATAAGATAAAGTAGGAGTATAAGTATAGTAGTACCCTTGTGTATAGGCAAAAGTAGGGATTCTACTAGTAGGCAGTATATTATATAACCTACTGCCTCTAGCTATATTACCTATATACTAACACTATATTTATCCTTATATATTTCTTTTACCCTAAGGAGGTCTTTAATAATTAATGCCCTCTTAGAGTATTATAGGCTAGCCTATTAGCTAGGATTATAGTTATATCTAGGCTATTAGCTTTAGGGCTAGCTAATTAGGCTATTTTTAGACTACTAGTCTAGGTAGCTAGACTATTAGTAAAGCTTTATTTCTTTTAAGGATACTATAGAGTAGGTAAGTATAGAAGTCTATAGTAGCCTAGTAATTACCTTTACTTCTAATCTAGTAAAAGGACTACTAGAGGCTTTTAATAAGTGTATTTACTATATATCTATAGCTATTATTAAAAGAAGTAATCTTACTTAGTATTTCCTTTAGGTAAAATATCTACTATATTTAACTTACGTTTATTATTAGGCTATATATTAATATATTTAGACTAAGCTATTATTTTAGGTCTATTATTATATATATAAAGTCCTCTTAGGTAGAGGTTATTATTATTAGGCTAAAGGGGACTACTAGCCTTTTTCTTTTTATAGGGGAACCCTTGCTAACTACTAATCTAGAGACAGTAGATATTGCCTAAGAGGGCAGGCGTATGCCTGGCCGCGGCGGCGGGCGCGGAGTCGCTGGCCCTCGGTTAACAAGGGCCAACATTTAGGGGTTTTAGTGTAATAAGGGGTGTTAATGATTTTGGTGTAGTGCATACGCACGCACTAACAGTGCGTGCCAAGAAAAGTATATAAGAGGGAAGGTTGAAGGTATGGAATGAAGGAATGACTGAGGCGCATGGCTGCACCCATGCATATAATGTACTGCGATTGATTCAGTGGGCTAACATGTGCACTTAGCCTCATGGCAAGCTACCTAGGCATCAGCACAATAACTTCCCTTCCCGTTTGAGTCTTTGCGTACTTGAACAGAATATCAATTGCGGAAAGATCCCAGTTTTGAAGGGAAGAAAGAAATCGGCTAACAACAAACCTCCTCTGTATTTATACCCCAGTGTTCCTGCAACTGAAAGTTGTGACAAAAAAAGAAGGCAATTGGGAGATGGTTCCGCTAAATCTTGTACAAGAAGTCCTGTGACGGACCGGCCATAATCGTGATATATCTCTCCAAAACTAAACCTGGTGGTCTTTAGGTCTCATTTTGCATGTGGCTTCGTATTGCATCAGCTAACCAACGGCAGCGTTCCCCTTCTGGCTGTATTTAACACCTTAAGTGGGTCTTGGCGGCAGTGTCTTGCAATGGAACCTGGTATGCCCGTAAGCGAGGCGAAGTTGGGGTTGCAGGTATGTACAAGCAGGTATCCAGAAACCCCCGCTCAGCCGACGAGCCAATTTGGACACTACGCCGCCGACGCTGCGTATGGGAACGACTTGGATTAACGTCTAAGCTCTTCAGCTGTCTGCCGGACCCCGCTATTCGCGCAACGCTGCTCATAGGAGCGGCTCTATAAGTGAGCAGGATATAATTAATTCATTAATTAAGTTGTCTCTTAATATTGCCAGAGAGGTCAGTTGAAGCCGAACCACAGGAAACAGCAAACTTTAGTGGCATTGGTGACGCACTGGCGGATTGGGTGACAGGTCGGGCAGTTGGTTGCCCTGACCTGCTCGTAACAGTTCTAGATATTGGTGCAAAACACATCTCTCAGCAAGCGGCTGTCAGACATCCCTAAACGCAGTCGGCCAATGCAAAGCCATCCCAGTGTGTACTTCGTCATTTGTGACCAGTCTCCCACTACTGTTTTCCTCTTATCTAGGCTGCAACTTGGCATCCCAATCCGGGATCTTATCCCTGGCAGTCAGTAATACCATGCTGGGAATATACTAATTTTGAGGTTGAGTACGGTGCTTATTGGCCGCATGAAGGTGCTAGCTCCTCTAGGCGTAAAAGATATGTCGGGTAGGCTCGGCTTATATGTGATTCTACGTACGCCCCCTCCACCAAGCAATTTTTATCACAAAGTGCACGAGTACAGTAGGTATACGCAAAGTACTATGTATGATAGGATTTAGTCACGTCTTCATGAACAGGCGCGGTTTTGCTCAAAGTTGCCTAGTTCTAGAAGACTTAGATGGTACGGGTTGCAAACCTCTCACCCTGTCCTTGTTGTGAATAGACAACAGAATTTCACGCCTGCACTCAACTCAATTTGGTGGCTGATTATCCGTTTTGAGCCGCTGTCTTATCTAGAAAGAGATTTCCTGAGCGTGATTAAAAAATTGACCGACCATACTCTATGGAAAGAACTCAGATATGCGCTGAGTATAAATATCACGGCTGTTCTCTCTCAAATATTGGTTTATCTGGCTGTTTCATTCATACCAGCAGTGAATTACCAACTCTGTTAATCAAACAAATCTACGTCCTCAGCAATAAATCCTTCGCAATGGCGCCCCCGAAACAATTCATGAGCATACCTTTGAGCAACGTCAGTCCAGATATCTCATTTCTTTCCTTTCCCTGTTGTAGACTGTTGATGTCGATATCCCTAAGTCGATTCAAGTAACATTAGTTATCTGAAATTGTCAAAGACATACTAAAACTGATGCTTTTTTGCGTAGACTGGGCCAACAATAGCTAGCGACATGCAGGACTCTGTATCCACGAGCATGACCGCCAACTGCCGTGCTTTTTCCTGCGACGGAACGGGGATCAAGATGGGAGAGAAATGTCCGAAGTGTGGTTGGGAGCGCCCAAGTAGCGACGCTACCGATTCCGAGTCTGCACAACAGTACACCACTTTCCAGATTTGAGATACAATTGTTGTGCTATGGATGTTATCAAGCTAGCAAAACGATCCGATTCTCAAGTCCTAGATACTCTACTTCGGCTGCAATCCTCTAACCTTTCCCGGTCAAGTTAAGATTCTGAGCAGAAGAAGGGAAGATGTCGCGGAAAGAAGGATTTTACTTTCTATGTGGTATTGGGTGATTACCGATGCGTATTATTGATATCTTATTTTATCAACTAAACACTTGGTCTGTTATTGGGATTGATTCAACACTTCCCATCTAGATAAAATATGACATTCTTTTCATATCTCATTTGATCTTCTATCCATACGCTGCCGTTGAAATGAATGAAACGTAACGGGGTTTTGTTACGAGCAGGTCAGGGCGCTTAACTGCACCATGAAGAAAAGGCTTCAGTAATGCTACGCCTGCATAATTATCCCTTGTTCTATACTATACAAATCCGCCGCCGCCAGCTCACTGACAGGTGGAGAACAGTGCTATTCATTAGTGCACATTACGATGAAAGGCGGTGAGCATAGCCTCAGTAGGTAAGTAGGTACAATATAATTGCATTACCGAAATCGCCTTACACGATTATAGTTTAATCTATTAGATAATCGATGTCAGTTCAATGCAATACACCTAGGGTGCATTGATTCAAGAGTGATTATTGTGCTTGATTGAGGGATTCTTCCCATCCCGGTCGAAGCGGGGTCCTGCCTTGTATCTACCCACTCTCACCGGTTCTGGCATATTACAGTTATGCGGACAAGCAAGTTTCAGCTGCCTTTTATCCGAACACAGGCGTCAATCTAACATAACCAGCTCTGGCCACCATCTTTCATCCAGTATGTATATATTTAAACGATTACGTTCATATCCGTAGCCTACTCTTTCTTATTGATCTATCCAATCCACTATCTCTTCATCCGGTGCTTATGGGTACGTATAAATGAGATGCGCTCGCTGTCTTCCGCATGCGCTTTTACTTACCTTCATTGCCCTTTAATCAAGACTTGAATTCTCGGCGACACCAACCTCGGAAACATTTACGTTTCTGCATGTGTTAGCATGACTCTCGAACATAACAACCTATCGCCCGAACTGAACTGGAATCATGATCCTCGGGGCAATGTGTGCTTGCAGCGAACTAACTGGGGAGCTCTATGCGAAATTGCCTCTCACAACAAGGACGGAGTCCCATGCGAGCCCCTTGAACGTTATACTATTGGCGGCAGCTTTCTTGCGCGTTTGATTCACTTTCAAGACGGGACCCTCTGGGTCGCCCGCGTTCAGCTCCACGAGCCAACTCAAAAGACCTCTGAAAGACTGCGCATCGAACTCGACACCATGTTCTTACTCAGATCACGGACAAAGGCCCCGGTACCTCAGGTCTTCTCATTTGCCCTCGACGCAGACTTGACGGGGTCTGCTTTCGTTCTGCTAGAGTATCTGCCTGGCAACAACGCCGCCGATCAAGCTCGCGACTATGTAAGAACCGACTGGGGCCTTATGCCGCCCCAGAACCGTCCAGCATTCTATCGTACCATGGCGGCTGCTCAGGTAAGTTCCCAGACGTTTGACTTTCACGTTCACGCTGGAGACCTGAAGGCCAATGCCTCCCAACTAAAATGTGGCCGTGACTATGCCAAAACTGAAGCTAAATCGGTTATACACAGGTTCAAATCGCGTCCGCCCGCCTCCCGAAAATTGGCACCGTCATTCGCAACAATGACGGCAGCTTCAACGTTGGTCCGATTCCAGGCCTCGGGGGTCCATTTGACACAGCGAAATCCTTCATCTGTGCTTGGGCTAGGAAGGCCAAATTTCCCTACGACGAAGCCTCCATCCGAGAAAATGTTCCTACCCGGTTTGCCGAGCAAATCATTGAGGGAATCAGACAATTCCCATCCCGGATTGCCGGGTTGGCTATGTCCGGCAAGCACTTTACGCGCGCAGGCCCCTTCCCAATCCGACACCCTGATCTCTTCCACAGCAATGTGATTGTTACAAAAGCCTATAACGTGATAGGTGTGGTCGACTGGCAGGATTCGCATACGATACCTTGGGAACTTGCAGATCTTCCTTTGTTCTTCAACACAGTACCTCCTCTGATGAACAGTCCTGATCAATATGACAAGACAGGCCGGCCGCTGGACAAAGATGAAGCCGGGAAATGGGCGGATGAGGAATCTTACGCTAACCTTGTGCGGGATGCTGAGCGGGATGCAGGCGTGGACAACAATCTTTCACAGATCCTCACCGATAGAGATTCCCGATATTTGGCTGCCGTTGTTCACCTGTTCTCTCAGGGGAAGATAGGCTTCTACGGTAAGGTTCTAGACCATTTTCAGGCTAAGTAAGGTGTTGATGCGAGATGCTCTCGTTGTAACGAGATGTAGAAACCGTGGGTGTGGAAGAGAGAGGGGATGGTGGCTAGATAGACAAGAGGAGAACAATTCTCTGTTTAAGATACGAGTATTTTAGTTTCAGAAAGACTACACCGTATTTAATGATCTCTTCACGCGAAATTCTCTTAACATGACAACACCTTCAGGAACAAACCGTCACTTCGATCAAATATTCCTCCATCTTAAGGAAAGCACAGGTCCGGTACCTCACTCGAACTCGCCTGGTATCAGCAGAAGACGTCTGTATGTAGATCCTCCACGGGCCCAATTCTCCTCCAACCATAGTATTGCCTCATCCTCGGATGATCTCCGTTCTCGGCGCACGCAGCAGCAAGTCCGAGGTCATACTGCTTGACCGCATAGATCCCTGATAACAAGCCCGTGACCAAGCTGAAGAACCCGAAAATGAACGCCCAGATGGCGATACAGAGGGTAAAGTGCTCTCGCTTGTTCCGCCGGTCGATCAGGGGATGCCACTAGTGAATCGTGGGGCTGTTATAGAGGTCCAGGATCGCGCTGAGCTTGGAATGGAATATCTCATAGCGCGACAAGTGCCGCTCCCATACGCTCACAAAAAGGTCAAAATGGAGTTTGCTGGCCACCGTCATTCCAAAGTATTTTCTACTGTGGCTCCGCTTCGGGAACAAGAGGCCTAATGAGCTGAGGACTTTAGCGCCCAGCGCGGGAGACAGGGGGCAGACCGGCGAACCGTCGTCTAGTTCCCCCGTGAAGACTGTCAGCAGTGCATGCACGTCGCAGAAGACCATCAACCTCATTTGCTTGCTCTTGATTGCAGGTAAACGTAAGAAGCGTGGCTGTGGATAGTGGTTGTAGATAGTATGGAGCTGGAGGTGCTGATCCAGAGAATGAGTCCTCTCGATCTGGACTCCATAGAAGCGGGAGATGTTAGGTCCTGTGAAGTCGTGACTTGGAATCGAGCCGGAGCGCACTTCTTTTGTCGGCGTAGAGCTGGGAAAAAGACTCGCCACATTGTCGACGATGGTTCGCTCATTACTCCATATGCTGCTGGTGCCTTCGTCGAGGTCCCGCAGACGTAGTCAACACGGAACCAGAAGAATACCGCGCAGATCGCGATAAAGTTGGTTCTCAGTCGAGATTTCTCTTGCAGAGGATGCAACCGCTCTGCCATCATGTGCCACGGCTCCGCCGGGTACCTGCGCACCAGGTTCATCACCGACATTATTGCATCGACGGCCCCTTCGACTTCATGTGGATTGGGTCGCTTGCCATATTTGCAGATCAATTCGATGAGGTTCCGAAGGTGCTCATTACAGTTTTCCAAGACACGCCCTTGAACCTCCATCTTCGGAAACAGAGTCCCCAGAAGGCGTCTCTTCTGTTCATCGGTGAACTTGACATCCTGGAGCTGGACTGGCCTGGCCTGGGACCCATAGTAGGGCTAGATTCTGCTTGATGGACGGGGTGGAGAAGACGTCGAGCAACTTTGGGTCAATTCGACATCGCCCATGATGGAATCTGGATGCAGCTTGCCTAGGTAGCAGCAGTACAGCAGTCCGCTGGAGTAGTGTTGTTGAGAAAGCAGAAGGCCAGCGTCGCTTCTGGTCCCAGGGTATCATTTGGGTTGAGCCCAAGCACCAGAGCCTTGCTGACGGTCGGCCAGTCCATCCCGCAAGAGAAATCCAATATTTCCCCACGTGCTGCTGCTGTGCCACTACTAAAGCGAGGATATGATAAGCGAACTCAGCCAATTGCATATGTGCAAGCCAGGCTCTCTGTAAAAACTGGAGTTGTCAGCTCGTCTGCTGATTCTAGTCACCTCATTCGTCGGTTATGCTATCGGATCATGCAACAACACTGGCGAGAAGTTCGGCCGCAGAAGACAAGCTGGATCTGTTCTAAAGAGGAATAGATCTGGTTGAAAGCCGGTGTCATGGATTTTGGTACCGCACAGAAAGCCACACAGACATTATAAAGGCACCACCTCGAAGTCGGCACATTCGATACTTGATACGATCGTGTATGTTTATCTATCAGCTTGCTGTGACTACCCATCGCAGCAGTATCTTAACTGCTCAAACCTCGTGATTTGTCATAGCCGCTGAAATGATGCTTAATTCCCCTGCTTACCAACTTCAACACCCAAGGATGAGCTCATGGCTCTACAAGAAGTATGCTCTTATACACAATTTAACCTAGACAGGCCTGTCCTGCCTGCTGAGATCATATCTCCTAAAGTAGGGCTTGGCGAGTCCCCTCTCCCCAGAACCGGTGTTTCTTTGGGTCCTTCCTAGAGAAACGGAAAGGTTCCAAAGCATACAGCTGAGAAAAATAAAAATACTGTTGTAAAAGTAAGATTTCTTTTGGCCGAGCCGGACTTGGACGAAGCTAAGGAATATTTCGACGGCTGAGCTGTTTCCCGGATTACTAAGCTGGGTCGAATAATATGTGATTCCGGCTGGGGATGTTGAAGAGAAAATCGTTTGATTGTTGTCCCCCGCAACTTAAGTTTGCCCCTGAGCCTTTCCACGGGCATGGCCGTGATCTTTGCGGTAACGACGACCTCGTTCTTTTCCGCTGTTGATGTTATCACGAGCATGGTCTTCTCCTCCTAATTGTATTTTCTCTTTGTTCGGAAGTTGGACTGTGGGACTAGAGGCCTCAGGCGCCGCGGAGGTAGAGGCAACGCCACGCTTGACCTCTCTAGCAACGTCCACACTACCTGTATTGGCGTTGCCACATTTCAAGGCTTCGGAAGTGTTTTTGGTTTGGTGCTTGTTGTGCGAAGGCAAGGCAATGACGTCGGAAGTCGGCTTTTCAGTGTTTCGCGCAGTAGCTGAAGCTTGATGACTCCTCCTCTTTTTCTTTTTGGGTTTATTCGGCTTCTGACTCGAGCCCTGACAGTTTTTCCCGGCACTCTGCTGTGGTGGTGGTTGCTGAACATAGATGCTCTGCGTCTTGGGCGTACAAGACTGGAGGGTCTGAATGACCTGATTTGATTGACCTTCGCTGTCCTGTAACTGGCCCCGGCGCTGATGGTGGGCAACATGCTTGCCTTGCTTCTTCAGGTAACCAAGAGTATCATTCGCAGCAGTGGATACTTGCAAACGAATGCTGCTGATCATGGAATCCATCTGCGAAGGCCGTTCGAAGGCTTGCGCTTCGGGATTAAGACCAGCATTGGACCGATTGGTGGCTTCGTTCAAGGGCAGCGTCAACTGCGTGGCCACAGACAATTGTAGATCGTAGTTCGATAAAAGTCTTGCATCTTCAGTCTGAGGAACTCTGTTATCTTTGGGGTCGACTTTAAGAGTTTTGAGCCGACTACCATGGTTCATCGTACTGGTAGGCCGTTGATGGTGGCCACCACGAGACAGAGGATGTTCGCCACCGCCGAACCCACGACCGCGACTGTGGCCGTGGCCACGACCAGCTTCTCGAATATGGATATTGTCATGACCGAGTTCGCTGCCATCGGCAGGGAGCTGATTGTATAAATCAACGGCGGAAGCCTGGTGGGATGTAGTTGCGCCTGGAACAAAACTGTCAAATCGATGTTCCAGGTTATGAGCATCTCGAACGCTGCGCTTAATAGCACGGACAGAACTGTGTAAGCGTCTGACACGGATGCGTCTATCCTGTGGATTCTCAACCCAGGGGAAGATGTCTTTCTGGTCCTCAAACGGACACATATTGACAACACGCTTAAATCTCCGCTGCTTTTGGATGCGAGTAACCGATTCGTAGCAAAACTGGTCAGTGGCAAAGATGCCCTTGGCATGGGTGAATTGCTCAGTCTCACTGTGTCCATGGCGGTCCTGGTCGCATTCAGCAATAAAATCGTCGCTCATGAGATACAAGAATCGGTCTCTGATTTCAGGCGTATTCAGAGTAAGCCAATGGAAAGACTCAGTCAGGGCGTTCCTGAGGTATTTTTCATCATCGTGGCCCATGAACAGAATTTCGAACGTGTCTGTATAGTCGAAGACGAACTCGGCATGATATAAAACGTCCATGTCGCGCGCTTCCTGCTTGAGATTGCCCCAAGATACGTGTGTGGTGTTGAGGAGACTAAGAAACATCTGTCTGAGGATACAGAGAAGGGAACGGTGGAGAAAGCGATCGGCAAGTGTGACAACCTCGGCCAACTCTCGCAGCTTCAGCTTTGGGATCTCCAGGTGAGCCTTTCGGAAGGGTTCCTCTTGGATAGCCTCGATCAGGGATCTAAAGTAGTCGACGGGTACGACTCGGATGCCACGAAACCTTATTTCGAAGAACCAGGAATGCGTGAGGTTAAGGTAGAGCTCGAGGGCGTCGGGGCAGACGTCTTGGGCGAACGTGATCTCTTGGCTGTAGGCCTCTTTGAAAAAGCCAAACAAGCAGCTGTCAAAGTACATGGAACCAGCGGTGATGACATCTCGGAAGACGATGAAAACCACGTCGCCGCAGTGGATGTGGACGAACTCATCGGTGTCGCTGGTTTGTCTTAGTTTTTGACTCAGTTGGCATGGCAAAGCTGGTGTAACTTACAGTTCAACTACTTTGGGCCTGTTCTCACGTCTGGCTCTTGCGTTGACGATACGTGAGAGATTGGTTGCGTCGGGTCGAAAGTCGCGAATTCTGATCATTGTGCTTCGGGCTGGGTTACGCGATGAAGTGATGGGTGGGACGCGTAGCTCGGGAGGTATGCCAGAAACGAAAGCTCTTTGGGAGAGGTCATCCGGACACTGCTCGAGACATGGAGCTTTGATGCCTGGATTGAAACCTCTGTGCTTGTTTTGCTCTCGGTTCGCGAAGTGAAAGAGGCAAAGGAAGAATGGAGTTTGTGGACGAGGGGAGAAGTTGCGCCAGCAACAAGGAAGGGGCTCGGGGAAGCCGTTCTTTCCTGTTTGACAGGCAAAATTCAAGCTCGCCTTTGGAGGCCACAGATGCCAGGCCGCAACGCGTCTGAGTGAACTTCAATTGTGTCTCTAACCGATTCTAGCCACAGGGAGCCGAATAGACGGCATAAGTCATTTACCCCGTTCAAGAAGGTTCGGAGCAGCAGCGGAACAGCCTCCGCTTTGGTCCCACTTGTCCCCGTGATGACCTCCGGCTGGTTCCGGGCACTTGCCAGCATGGTGAAGGAAACAGAGCAACAAGAAACGGGTCAAAACATGAGGAAGCAATACACAAAGTTCAAACATTCAAAGACTATATACTGTTTTCACCAATGGTCTCATGCTGCCTGCTTCTTGAAAGCCACTCCGGGCAGAACCAGGAGGAGCATTGTATTCCTTTTGCCTTATACATACACCTTGCCAAGTGGAAGCAGTGAGCAGTTTATAAGTTCTCATGACATTCCCAGTAATTATAACGCAAATCAGATACCTTTTATTCTGCTATGCGCTTCTCATGACAACTAGAAAAACAAGAAGTGATTATAGCCTGCAATTTGGCCTTGTACTGTGTAAATGTAAGTATGATGATGTAATCACACAGTGCAAACATCACCATATCCGGCAGCAAACGGGATTGCTGTCTTCAATTTCCAATTTCCAATTTCCTCCCGCCCTCAACGGGAAGAATAAAAAGGCCTTCACGTAACAGGGAAGGGCTGTTCTGCCCCTAGTTCTTACTCTCTTTCATTCCCATGGGGTCTAAGAAGAAACAACGACCCAGTCCGAATATTTGGCTCCACCGCATCTAGGTACCCCGCGATTGGATTCCACAAACATCATCTTCCAGGCCTAGCGACTTCCACCATCACCAGTCGGAATTGTAAGGCTCCTTGGATCGAGCCTTCCTCTCTTCGATATCCCCACACTTCTTGATCAAGAGGTGCCTGTACATATCGGCGCCACAGAAGTCGGAGTCACTCTTTCAGCCACTGAGTCACTCCGACTTTTCTGCCTTGACATTCCCGCATCAGCCAACGCTGCTTCATCCACCGTCCAGGGTTTCCAGCAAACTTCATTCCATAGAAACGCTCCCCATCACTACCGTATTTCCATGCATATGTCTTGCAGCAAATAACATTCCGCATAGGTTCCTTTTGCCCAATTGCACAACAGACCAGCCTTCACTTGGATGCCGCAAAACTGGGGTATGTTAGGGGACCAGTACATCACATACTGAGCTGACTTCATAAAGCCAAAGATTGAACCACCATCAAACGAGCCTTTAGCCCAAATTTGAACATCATGGGAGGCTGCGCCTTTGCCCCCCACGGCCTCGATACTCCGCGCATGCCGCCCGAGATCTACGAGCATGTCAAATCCAAGTGCACTGCCGCGTTGCGGGAACTATACATATGTGTTGCAAGCCCTATCGAGGGACCCGAGAAGGAGGATTTTGGTGATATTGACATCGTTCTCACATGGGAGAAGGCCCCTTTACAGACTCGATCCATAACAAAACCTACTTCAGCGGTAACAGATGGGAAAGTCGACGTCGACAGCCAAGAATCCGACGACGAGGAACGCGTTGGCACTGACGATGAAGAGGGACAGGAGCGTTCACCGGCTCACTCAACCATGTCCCCGGAAGAGGCACGCCGAGCCATTGGGGCTGCCCTGGGAGCCGAGTATACCATGTTTAGTAAGGTCGGCGGCCACTACGCCATCCCATGGCCAGCTTCCGAATTCCCAATTGAAACAGACGAGGGCCAACCGGACGAGGAGCCCAAGCGATACATCCAGATTGACATTACAATTTGCGAATCCTTGCAGCAAATGCAATGGAACCTGTTCAAGAATGCTCACGGCGATCTGTGGAGCATCCTCGGTTCCATCATCAAGCCATACATGCTTACAGCCGATGGCCATGCTCTCTTCTTGCGGAACCCTGACATTGAAAGCTTTGAAAAATACAAAAGCTTGGCCAGGATCCGTCTGACCAGAGACCCGACCGAGATTCTTCTGTTCCTTGGTCTCGACGTCGCCAGATACTCGGAGCCCTTTGCGACCCGTCAAGAGATGTACGAGTACGCCGCCAGCTGCCGTCTCTTCCGCGTCCATCCCGACGCAGAATATGACGAGTCAAGGCAGCTAGAGTCGGTCGCCTCACCCATTTCAACAGCTCCAGCCTTGCCATCAACTGGACCAGACCCCACGAAGTCGCCGATCTCGAAGAATCCCTTGACGCCAACGAACCTGCCGGAACTAGAACCTTCTGGCGAGTCGGAACCAGCCAGGAAGAAGCTGAAGGCTAAGGACAGGAAGCGCCTCAAGACTCGGCTGGCATTCCGTCAGTGGCATGAAGAGTTTGTCCCTCGTTGCCGGCAAGAAGGCCGCTTCCTTGGAGAGCCGTTCACTTGGTTGGAGGTTACGGAGGAGGCCTTTGACCGTTTCTGCATCCGGCCATGGTACAAACGTGTCCATCTCGATGTCGTCCGCAGCAGAAGCGAGGACAGAGTCTTGGCAGATGTCCTCAAGACGATCGACAACATCGTTCCCGCAGACCCTGCTGATTCTAAGAGATGCCAGTTCCGCAGCGGGCTGAAGAAGGCCCTCAAGAAAATCATTTTCCTAGAGGATAAAAGCTATGGAGTGGTGCCCGAGAGGGAGCTTAGAGACGGCTTGGGGTTGATGATTAAGGATGAAGTCGACAGGTTTGTGAGCGAGAAGTGGAAGGAGGTCGGGGACGCAGCTATGGAGAGGAATCAAAAGAGATTCGAGGAGCATTGCCGCGAGAAGGGAAAAGCACGACAGGAGTAAAGACAAAGGCCTGTTCAACGTAGATGGCAGCAGGTATTCCACCACACAGACTGAGAGACGACATTTCATACTTAGCAGATTGGAAACTCAATCGCCATCGTCTTCGAACCCAAGAGAGCGAAATCACCCTTGGCACATTGGGATTCAGCTCCCGAGATATCTGCAAGAACAGCCACCACGAGGCGCTCCCAGTAACTCTTCTTCCCCCAAACAGACGTCTTCTCGAGGTAGTCAAAGGATGCTTCAGCGAGGGCGTTCATGCTATAGGAGCGCAGCACAATTGAGCTTTCTAAAGATGGCTTGATGACGCCCACGTCCCCCTGATACCCTCGGATTCTAGAAGTGGATTTTGCGATGTAGATTTCATTGTTCAGCAAGGTTCAGCAGCCCTGTGTACGTGTCGACGCTATGTGAGCTTCAGCCCCCATCACTCGGTCAATGATACGATGGCATCATTGCCCCCTCAGCTGTCTCCCCGCTTCACCCTACCCCCTTTCAGGCCCGAAATTGACTAGGATAAATCGCCACGAAGCCCTAACAAGATACTCACAGAGGGTCATTGCCAGGCCTTTACCCTTCCTCCCCCCTTCCTCCTTCTTCTTTTCACTCTTTCAAGCTCACATCACCTTGTCTCCTTTCGCCCAGGGGGTCCAGCTACGCGACTATCGTCACAAAGGTACAGGTTTCCATTCTTTTACCTCGGGGTACATTGCTCTGTTTACAACCTGGAACACATGTCTGACCTTTTCTTTATAGATCATCGAGCTATTTACGCCAAGTACCAGAAACAAACACCCCAAGTGAGAGCTTCGTCTCCGGGCTTCCTCGGGGTTCCCTTGCCTATCCGGCCTTGTGTACTAATAGAATAAGGCCAGGCTTTCATCGATGACGCCGCAGGAAACGATGTCTCGCGGCCCGGCCTACGACGCTGAGGTCCATATACTCAATCCTCACTCACCTCAAACCAAGTACCTAACATGGGTTCGGCAGGACGACGACGGCTCCTCCTCCGAGGAGCGCGGCCGCCCCCGCCTCCGTGGCGACGGCAACCTCGCCCTCGCCCAGCAGCAGCAGCAGCAGCAGCAGACTGCCGCAGGCTCCCCTGCCGCCTCCTTCGGCCGTGTCTCCCCTGACGTCGATCCTGGTGGTCTTTTCGTAGCCGCCCCCTCCATCCACCGCTCGCGCTCACGCAGCGTCGCGCCGTCCCTCCCGATCCCAATCCCGGGCGCCGCCGGTAGTAGACGCGCGGCCTTCCGCAGCGCTGAGCTCGCTGAGCGACTCGCCGCCGCCGGAGACTCCGACAGCGGCACCGACAGCCGAGGAGGATCCCCCATCGGTCGTCTGCCCTAGGAAGGCCCGCGCCGCTGGACCGTCTCCAACGTCTCCCGCGCCGGAGGCTTCTCCCCCGCCGAGCTGAGCGCGCAGGCTACCCGTCTGCATCGGGGCATCGGCGTCGGACCGTCTTGGCTCGTAAGAGGAACCCCCCTCCCCACACTTCCACATCATTGTGCAACGAGTCTCGGTATTCTAACCCGTCGAACGACGGAACAATAGGACCCCGCCGGCCGCCTCCACCAGCTACCTGCGGGCACCCGCCTGCCGTCGCCGCCTCCCCTCACCGAGGAGCAGCTCGAGAGGGCCAGGACTCTCGGCGCACAGCCCATGCCCCCGTACCCCCTCCGGCCCCTCTCCCCCAACTCGCTGCCCGTGTACGGCCCCATCACTTACGCGGAGTACATGCGGAGGTTGGAGGAGCGGGCGAACGAGTACAGAGCCTTTTAAGTTGGCAAGAAGCGGCAAAGATGGGGCTCCTCGTATATACCACATTGTCGACATCGAAGCAGCAGGAGATCTCTGCGCTTCGTACATCCTCCTCAGAAAGTGCGGGAATCGGCTGCTCTTGTCTTATCCAAGGAAATTCAAAACAAAACAAGGAGGATCTCACGAGTGGCTGAGACTTGGGCATTGTGTTTTTTTCTTCTTCTTTCATTTGGATTTTCCTTGAGAGCTTGGCTTCACTCCAAAGTATATGGCGAGAAGAGCACCATTCGTCAGGGCGGGAAGGGCTCCCTCTCCGGCTGCCGCAATCGTCGACGGTGTCTCTTTGGGATAATCATGTGCTCAGGCAACAGACAGAGACTTCTACCAAAGATCAATACAAAAACAGACTGACTATGATACCCATTGGACCCGGTTAAGAGCCCATAATGCCGGTACCCAAACCAGCCATCCTGCCTATCGTGTAAAGAAAAAAAAAAAATCAATGAAGTGCCGATGGGCTCACCGGCCTCAGGGGTGGTCGGCGAGCTGCCCATGCCACCAAGCCCGATTTCCCACGCTACGGCCAATACTTTGGCTTAGAGTCTCCCCTCGGAGGGAAGCAAGGGGTCTAGTCTCCCCCCAGACTCAGGATGCAGGGAGTCGCCCCGCAGTCACTTTGCCAGATCAGCGGCAATGTACGGATTTTCGGACAAGGCTTCTCCCCGGGGTAGGAAATGGTTCGAATTAGCATTTCCGGAACCCTAAGCCGTCGTCCTGGCTAGCCACCGCCCCACGTAGTAAGTATACCGTTGGCATCAAGCGAAGCGGTCCAGGAACACAGTTAGGTTCTCTTCGCAAGCTCGCGGTGCTGAGACCCCCCTCCCCCCCTTTCGCAAGAAGCGACCGGTAAGATATTGCCCAGTCATCGATGTAGATAGATTTCGGTATACACGACGGAGCATCTTGTCCGCAATGAGGCGGACGGACAGACAGAAGACACCGGTTATCGCGGTCCCACCTCGCTTCACCATATCATCCCCCTAGCTAGAGCACACGTAACGTCGAGAGCGGCCTGTGACGAGATTCGGAGTTGAAACCGTCCATTGGTTCCGCGATTCCTTGTCTCAAAACGCAGGGGAGCATAGGCTTCCAAACCTCGGGGTGGTGCAAAGGCCACGCCCCAAAGCTTCGCCAGCCTCGTCCTGGAGAGGAGCGATCTTCCAAGCTCCCTCCCTGACACATCATTCTGATCACGGGATCATGTGTTGTATGCCCGACTCCGAGATTGCTATGCAATCGCATGCCTCCATGGACCCTGGCATGTGGTGTCTTAAACACAGCTCATCTAGTTGATCCATCAACCTTAAAAAAAGGGGGAGGCGCTCACCACCACCGGACAGATCCCCTACGTAGGCGTTCCCGCACATCTTCTCCACGACGGGTAAGTGAACCAGACTGGAGAGAGAGCGGAATCAGTAAAATCGTGAAAAACGGCCGCTCAGGGATGAATCCAATCTGCAGGGAAGCCGCACCAACGATAGCTTCACGAACCACAGGCTGCTTCTCCGGCTGGTTGGATGGGTTGAGCGTGAGACTCTTAATTTCAAGGGTGTGGCCTCAACTCGTACCTAGGCCTGATCGTGGCGACTGACACATTCTCACCACGTTAAGCTCAATTCCTGTCAGCGTTTGACACTCATCTATTCATTTACGTTATTTTCCTCACATGTCAACACTTGTGCAGCTCACGAGAGCGTTGAGAGTGGGTGTAGGTCGAACCTGTACGACTGTTGATTCTCAACTACCGGAGCCGAGGAGCGGGGCGGTCCTGTGTTCCACCTGGGCTTGCGACTATAATCAGGCAAGGTATAGTACCCGGCATAGTTAGTTAAGGATAAGAGGAGGGCGAATGATGTACCAATTAGTTTCGGCCTCCATGATGGCTATCCTGCTAGTGCTCACGTCAGTACCCATGCTGGTGCTGATAAATACCATTGAATTAAGGATGGAAGAGGATTATTTATCATCGTGTCTGTCGTACACGCGTCTGTCGTGCACGCGTCCACTTCATCATCATGCATCGACCGATAGGAACCTTCCGTCAGGACAAGCCAGGGCCATCCCCAAGGATTAACAGGCCTGGGAAAAGCCAGCTTGGGCTCATCAAATCCCAACATTTTGCTAGCGACGAGGCGCCAGTGAGCAGAGGTGCAACAGCATGCCCTTGCGCTCCAGCCAGGGGTGCAGGATGATATTGCTTTTCGTGCCATTGAAATCAAGCGGTGAGACAGAGATGTCACTGCTGGGGCGGCTAGGTTCTGACTGTGCGGCGGTATGCCTCCTGGCACCCAAGGCTCGGGTAAAGCCAGCCAAAATGCGCGGCAGCCATAACGTTTTTCAGTCTTTCTTCTGACGAACGTTCACGGCGCCCGTGTCTGGTGCTGAGGCTTGCAGTCGGCGGAAGGCCGGAAAGCCACCCGGCTGAGGCTAAATCCAAGTTCTGACGGCCCCAACAGTTTGGTGTGTGGTTGCAATTGGCCCATGGCGCCTGCTATTAATCAAACTGCGCTATCAATGGACTGGATACTCAAGGTTCTAAGAGTGGCTGGAATGTTTTGGAGCAGCGGTCAACCTGCCGCTACCCTTCTGGACGGGCTGCGAAGCAAGGTGACCGTCTTTGTAAACGCATTCCGCTCCCCGTTCCGGCGGACCTCAAGGTAATTGGATCCATGGAGCCAACCCTCAAGTGCCTTGCATATTTACAGGGATATGCCATGCGCTGGGGACCGGCGATCTGCGCCACGCTCCCTGACTGGAGCAGCAACCTGCCTACCAACCTGGGTTTGGATTGATGATGGCCCACAGCGGTCTGAGACTCTGTTACTCTTTTGGCCTTCAAGCCAGCCTCCCATTTAGCTGTCAATAGAAATATTAGGTTGCCCCGGTAGTCGATGCGAGACTGTGACTCAGGGCGATGACATCTGCAGGTAGGCAGAGATGAGGCGGCGTGATGTTGCACGAGCAACCGCAGAGAAGTGTTAGGAATCAATTGGTACGCCGACTGCTCACGGGAACCGATCGTTGCTGCGGGTGCATCGTGACTAGGCAGACGTGAGCTTTGTACAATTCACAAGCTCGGTGAATGCGAGGTATGCTGCGCATATGAGCAACCTTGGGGCTCTTGGGTAGTCCATTTCATCTCATCTCAGCACAGATGCGCCTAGCCAGGCCTCCCACAATCACCGTAATCAGCGGTAGCCTATTGGACACAGCCCATCAAAATAGGGCACCACACTGAAGCAACTCGTGCTGTTCTCGTAGCGAGGCCAATGGAATTATCCGCGTGCAGCCTCGACTTCTTCACGATGCTAGTCTCGTCGGTCAGAACGATAGGTGATATCCGGTGAGCGCCTAAAGGCAGGCAGCAAGGCGGCTCCATAGCATGCAAGATACCCATACGCATGTGCAGCATGGGTCGCAAGGCATTGTCCTGGTGTAGTAGGTACGGATATCTGTATTCTGCATTCACCAGCCGGGATAGTTCAGCAAGCCTTGAGGTAGGAATGCGACTTGTGCGACCAACGGATGCTTGGATGACTCCCTCTCTTTCCAGGCATCCAAGCCGAGGAAGAAAACCAGGTCGGCGACGGCGGCGGAACTGTTGATTATCCCTTGCTTTAAAGGCCGCGCTCCCGTTCGCAAATGATGGCAAGCTTGCACTTGTACCACGGTCCATCTTCTTCAACCGGCTCCCCCACGCAGCCTGCAGAAGCTCGCGCAATCCTACGACGTGGGTCACAACTGAAGCCGATTTCATTGTGCCAGTGCCGCTGTCGCGTCGCTCACTCGTTTACTTGGGCTCTGCTTCTTTCGCATCTGCCAGAATTACACCATTAGATTCCACCGAAGGAAAACGGGCAGGGTGACAAACAGATCGTCCCAGACAGGCCGGAAACTTGGTGTATCCACCCCGTTTCTTGCGTTCCATTCCAAGCTGTTTGCAATATCGAGAACCTTGATGGATATATGAATCAGGGCAAGGAGCTCAACAGTTGATCCAAATATTTCCCGTCGGGCTTGTTAGACGCAAACCGGGGACCCTTTCATCATAGGTACTGCCTCTTCGGACCAACAGAAGTATACCAGAGGCAGATCCATTCACCTGCCGGCACGAACAGCATAGAACACAACTAGGAGACCGGGAATACGCATCAGTGCTGGTAAACCCGAGGTCCGTCACGATTGTTCGAGAAGGAGCAAGTCGATATCGCTGTCTTCGCCTTGACAGGCTACCCACGAAATAGAGCGACTAGGGTCAGGGGAGCATCGCACCGCACCGCACCGCACCGCACCGCACAGCTTTGGGTGACACAATTGTCTTACCTCGCGAGCTTTTCTGGACTTTCTCTTCGTCTGTTCTGTGCTGCATATTCAGCTCACAGGAGCAACACCATCCCGGCTATTCGAGCGGCTGGGAGAGGAACACGAAGCCAACTTACCGCGTGCGTGCATGCGTGGCTGTTGAACCCGGGACAAGCAAGCAAGCAGTCGTCGGATAAACGTGGTGTGGGGAAATCGAGGAATGCGTCTTTTGTCTGTCCTCTTCCGTCCGTCCGGTTGGCCAGGTCGACTGCCTTGGGTTTGAGGCGTGAGAAAACGACAGCAGATTGGCAGCAGCAGCAGCAGTAGCACAAGTCGAGACGGGACGAGACGAGGAAGGTGGTTGCAAAACCCACGAGGCAGGCGCCCTCCCTTCCATCCCAGGTCCTGGTGTCTGTGTCGTCCTTGTCGTGTTGGTGTGACAGGCGAGAGACAGTGATCGATTTGGGCCAAGGCCGTACACGTACAGTAGTACAGTACAGTACGCACGCACGAGCATTGTGAGGAGCGGTAGCAGCAGCGACGGCAATAGCGACGCAGCAAGCAGCGCGCCAACCAACGCAGGGCGAGCAGCAAAGCAGACAGACCGAAGACGGTTGGGGCTGCCGGCATTGCTCAGAGCTGCCGGCATTGCTCAGAGCTGCACGACCATTGCATTTCGGGACTGAATATTCGAAACGGGATCCAGGGAGAAGGGACGGATTGGCTGCGCTTCCGCCTTTTCCTGCATTTGTTCCTGCACTACACAAGCACTTGCGCCTGCACGCACCTACACCTACCCTATACCTCGATCGGGAGTTCCATTATACCGTTACCATCCTTACCTGCCGTCCGTACGTAGCTACCTTCCTTCCCTGCCTCGCCTTCCTTACTTTACCTATCTTGTCTATCCTTGCCTCATCTACCTACTCCGTACCTTCCTTACAGGATCCCAGGTAGCCTTTCTCTTCCTCGCCAGTCCTGATTGGGAAAGGAGATCGAGAAGAGGACTAGGGAAAGGGAAAGAGAACCCGAGGAAAGAATTTGCCTGCCTCCTCCTGCCTGTCTGCAGCTCCCTTTTTCTGAGACGTGCTCGCGTGTCCCACACGCTCCCTCCGCTCAGACAGACTGGCCTGCCCTTTGCATTGCATTGGCACATTGGCTCGACACGATTCTCTTTACCTGTCTTTCTCTGGCTGCCTACCGACCTGCCTAGGAACCTTGACGGCCCTATATTCCTTCCTTCTCTCCGTCAATCCCGCTCATTCCCGTCTTCTTATTTCAATCACATCTTCCGGCCTCCCACCCCAGCCAGTCATAGGCACCTCCTGCCTCATCAGGTGTCTACCATTTCTAGCTGATCTTCTTTCCCCTCCTCCTTCTTTTTATTCTTCTTAACGTCAGCTTGCCTTTCCAGAGGAAGAGCCTTGACTGTACTTGCTGCCATCGGCTCTTTACCGGGTTGGGCTTGTTTGTACCACTTTGTACCCGTGTGCATCGCCCACCTAAGTCACTATCGCCAACTTAAAACCCCTGGAAACAATCAACCAACGAGACGCGCATCTGTCTGTCCAGTCAATTGCCTCTTCCCAACATTATCCGTGCTCTGCACCTGCAAACCATAACACTACTTGGGGAAGGAAACGAAACATCCGGTGCCCGTCAGGAAACCGTTTCCGTCTTCCCCGTTTTGCCTGACAAGATCACATTACGTTCAACAACTCAACTGATCCCTGGCCCGAGTGCTGTCAGCACATCCCCGCTCCTCGATCAACTCATCATCGGATTCTCCCCCGTCTTGCACCCTCAACTGTCATTTGTTCGGAATTGCTCTCTATTCTTTGTGGTAACCCTCCCAACTGACATATCCACCCCTCGATCTGTCTCGTTGTCTGATCGCTCCAAGGATTCGGGTTTGCTCTCCAACATCCTCGCCACCATCCGCCGCAATGGCATCTCTCGAAGAGCTTCTCGACAGCCTACACTACCTTTACCCGGCTCTAGCTTTCATCTACTTTGTAGTTGCGTCGGCCATCGCCGTCTGCACTCTCCAGACTCTCCGGGCTGCCAACAGCCCTGGAAAGGAAGTAATTCCTCGCTCTTGGATCCTCAACCTCTTCGTCGCCTCTGTCTTGACCTACGTTGCCCAGCTTGTCATTATTGCCATTCAATCCATCCTTCTGAAAGAATGGATTGGCCAAGAGCATGAGGTTATTGGCCTGCTCTCCTGCGTTCTTGTCTTCGGTACTCAGCTGGCCTTTCTTTCTGACACGGCCCATCCCGTGTGGACGCCTTACTGGGGGTCATGGCTCATCTCCCTGGCACTCGAGCCCATGATCACTGTCCCAGACTTGATTCTCCGGCGGTCCAGCACCTTCGAGCATTGCCGCATCGGTCATTTTGTCTTCGCCGGCCTGCGCTATTACCTGCTCCTTACCATCTGCTCTGTCTACGTCGTTCAGCGCATCCGAGCCAGTCAAGAAGAGGCTTCGGACGAAGAGCGACAGTCTCTGATTGGGCAGGACGATCCCAAGTCGCGGTTGAGTAGCTCCGGGAACGGTAACCAGAGCTCTAGCTCGACTTACGGAACTAACGACCCCCCCGAATCGGTTTGGGCAGAGAGACAGCGGAAAGCTCAAGAGGAGATGGAGAAGCGACTCCAGGAAGAGGGGAACTGGCTTACCTACATCAAAGGCTTCACAGTAAGTAAAGCCCGCGGATTGCCTTTTATATATATATATATATATATATATATACACATATGTATGTTGCTGTCTCGTGAGCTATGGCTGACTTCGCTCCAGATCCTGTTCCCCTACGTCTGGCCCATGGGTCAGAAGTCCCTACAGCTACGTCTTGTCCTCGTCGGCCTCTGTCTTCTTGCTGGCAACGCCCTCAACCTCTTGATTCCCCGCCAATTCGGCATCATCGTCGACGAGCTCAAGGACCGGGACTTCACTGGTGCTTGGATTGGTGTGGCCATCTACGGTCTGCTGCGAATCGCTGCCTCCGATGCCGGAATCGAGTTCTTGCGCGAATGGCTGTACCTCCCACTTGAGGTCTATGCCGACGGAGCTCTGAGCACAGCTGCGTACCGACACATCTTGAACTTGTCTGCGGATTTTCACGATTCCAAGAGCACGTCCGACATTAGCTTGGCCATGTATGGCGGTTCTAGCATCTCTGATCTCCTGGAGTCCATTTGCTTCCAGGCCCTCCCCATGTTGATCGACTTGGTTGTCGCTGTTGTGTACCTGTCAGTCATCTTGGGACCCTACGAAGGTCTCATCACCATTGCCACGAGCACTCTTTTCCTCTTCATCGCCACAAAGATGATTGCTGTTATGAAGGAACGTCGCCGAGCTCATGTCAACGCACAGTATGCTGAGCACTACGTACGACAGACTGGCATCACTGGCTGGCACACTGTTGCGTCCTTCAATCAGACGACGTACGAGGACGTCCGCTACACCAACGCCATTCACACCCGCATCAACTGGACCAAGCGTGTGCGTCTCGGTTGGTTTACGGCACAGGCGTTTCAATCACTTGTCCTCCTTTGCGGTCTTTTGGCTGGTGCCATTCTGGCCGTCTACAGAATCAAGAGCAGTAAGGCCACGCCCGGCGACTTGACGATGCTCTTGATGTACTGGGCTCAGCTTACCTCACCTCTGCGCTTCATGGCGAGCCTCGGCAAGAAGATTGGAAGCGATCTCATAGACGCGGAGCGACTACTGGACATTATGAAGAAGGAACCGACCATCGTCAACAAGAAGGGGGCACGACCTCTCAAGCTTGTCGGTGGAAACGTCGAGTTCAACAATGTCAGCTTCACGTACGATAACAAGAAGAAAATTATCAACGGAATTACTCTTTCCGTTCCTGGCGGCCAGACAGTGGCATTCGTCGGCGCTACTGGTGCTGGCAAGTCCACTATGTTGAAGTTGTTAAACCGATTTTACGATACTAGTGAAGGTTCCATCCTGATTGATGGGCAAGACGTCCGTGAAGTGGACTTGCACAGCTTGCGCGACCGGATTGGTTTGGTGCCTCAGAACCCAATTCTTTTCGACGACACGATCATCAGCAACATCCGGTATGCGAGAATCACGGCCTCTGACGAAGAAGTCTTTGAAGCTTGCAGGGCAGCTTGCATTCATGATAAGGTCATGACTTACACGGATGGCTACAACACCCGGGTCGGTGAGAGAGGAATGTTAGTAGTCTTCGACCCTTCTAGAGACGCCAAACCACCCAACTAACTGACCGATTTAGTAAACTGTCTGGTGGTGAACTTCAGCGTGTCGCGATTGCTCGTGCTATCCTCAAGCAGCCCGAGATTGTTCTGCTCGACGAGGCGACGAGCTCTGTGGACACCGACACTGAGCAGAAGATCCAGCAGTCGTTCATGCAGCTTTGCAAAGGACGAACAACTTTCATAGTAGCGTAAGTTTGGCCACGTATTGCGTCAGCTCTATCATGCCGAGTGATATGGTATGGAATTCCGCCTCGGGATATTAGCTAAGAAGAAATAGGCACCGACTTTCGACCATCATGAATGCCGATCGAATTGTTGTCATTGAAGATGGCGAGGTCGTCGAGCAGGGCAGCCACACCGAGCTTATTACGGCCAACGGTAGATATGCCGACCTGTGGTCCAAGCAGACTTTCATCAAACCCAAGGACGAGGGCTCCGCCGGCACAAAGAAGTCTACCGATGTCAGCGCTCCCAAGCCTAGCGGCACGTCGAAGGCCAAGGACACGCCTATTGTGCAGGCGGCTCAAGGTTCGCATGCCACGAGCAAGACGGGCAAGGGCAACGAAGGCACACAAACTCCCGGTAACCACAAGAAAGAGGTAGAGTCAGCTGAAGATTCATCTTTGGCAGATTCTGACCACTGATTGTGTAGGGAACGCGTTTGAACCCCGTTGCACCCGAGTTCACACCCAAGTCTGCAGCTCTCGCAAGCACATTGAACTCGACACCCAAACGCTATGCCGTTCCCAAGTTGGGGACTCGGGATGTCTTGGAGGTTCACAAAATCAAGCCAATCTTGAGCTGGGCCAGTGCTACCTCCTCAGATGACGACTCGGCCCGGGTTTCCGTTGTTCCATCTCCTACCAGGGTTGCCGGGAGACCTTCTGAACCAGCCCCGACCACAGTCGGGGTTTCTTGCACCCCCAAAAAATATCCCCAAGGAACCTCATCAAACGCCTTGGCCACTCAAGCTGACCTGGACCAGATTATGGCCATGGACTCGGATAATGACTCTGTCGATACTGTTATCAAAATCGAAGGGCCTCAGTTCAGAACACCTCACGCCATCTCCCGTCGATTCAATGCTAAAAGTGATTCGACGGGCGCACCGATAGGAGGCAAGAATGGCATCGACCAAGCTAGCGATGACTCGGATGAGCTCACTCCTCTGCCTCATCAACATCCTACAACTCGGGCAAGGGCAGGGCTTAAGCGTCAACAAGAGCTTCGCCATGTATCTGCCCCAAATGCAAATTTGGAAGTCGTCACCCCGGGACAGGAGAAAGTTATGTCTTCCACAGGGCACATTCCAAATATGCCGACAGGAAACCAGTCATCCGAGTGCACTTCTCGCATTCCAGCTGACCCTGGCTCGACTTTGACGGCTTCAGTCAATGAAAACATTCCACCGAAGCTTCCTGCCCCATCACATGCCTCCACGTCACACCACTCTAATCAGCAACGGGCCCAGAGGGGAAGATCCAACCGCGGTAAGAGTCGTGGGCGTGGCCGCCATGGCAATACCAAAACACCAGGCGTCGCTGGAGCCCAAACTCAAGCCCATCACAATCACTGATCCTTTATCCACTATTTCTTTTCTATCGTCTCCTTATTACTACCGCATCCTTCGTCGTTCGAATTGGGCCAGAGGTCCATGTACTATCATTGCGTGTGTTGCTCTTGTTTCACTTGGAACCACTTGGGCGTCACCATTTTGTGGCATGACTTGAAAGAAAACAAAAGCCAGTGTGACTTGGCGGGAGGGTGGACGGCGGGTTATTCTTAAAAGTTTCATATCGTAAAGACGAGACACGCCATCCAATGTAAACGGAAGGACGAAAGTGGGCAGTTTGTTTTCATTAGACCCGGACGAAGGGATTAAAAAAGAGGCTTCTAGGGTCTGTCTCATGGCTTAGATTGGACTGGATGTATGAATATGGTGGCCGGTTGCCTGATCAAAACCTTTAGTTTAACTTCCACGTCATTGGCGATTCACGTTCTCATCGCAAACCGTCTGACATGAGCTAAGCCTTAGGTAGGCTGGATAAAGTTCATCCCAAGGGACTGCCAATGGCGTTCTATTCATGCATCGGTATCTCATATATCTCGACGACGTAAGGTAAGTCATAGTGATCCATCGAAGACCACGGCCACCCTGTGCCATTAAATCCCATCCGGAGTCGTTTCTTTCAAGCAAGACATATCAATACTCCGGGATACGGACAGTATCTAAGCAGAGCCTCCACGACCAGCGCCGGCACCTCCGCCGGGAGCACCGCCGGGGGCACCGCCGGGGGCACCTCCGCCACCACCCATCATGTTACGAGCCCTGCGACAGTCGATTAGCACCGGTTGCACGTAAAACATCAGGCCGTCAAGGGGAGAGTGGGAAAAGGCTTACATGTCGGCGATGTTGGGGTCAGACATCAGGGAGTTGAGGTCGGGCATGCCGCCACCGCTGCCGAAGCGGTCGGCCATCTCACGTAGGCGAGGGTTGCTCATGAGATTGCTCATCATTTCGGGGTTGCTCATCAGGTTCTGGGCCATGCTGGCAAACATGGGGTTGTTCATGATCTGGCTGAAGTCGGGCATGCCGCCACCGCCTGCACCGCCACCGCCGAGCATGCTCGCCAAGCTGCTCAGGTCGGGCATACCACCGCCGCCGCCGGCGCTGCCGCCGCCGACGCCGGGTGACTGGCGGGGGAGGTCGGTCTCCTCGAGCTGCATCTCCTCGACGCGGCGCTTGGCCGTCTCGAAGCCCTTCTTCATGGCCTCGCTGCCGCCGGACCCTTCGTACTCGATGCCCTTGCCGTAGGCCTCCATGGCGCCCTTTGCGTCGCCGAGGGCGAAGCGGGCGAGGCCAAGGCGGGACCAGGCCTTCGTGTAGGCCGGGTCAATGGCGACGGCGGCCTCGGCGTCGGCCTTGGCGGACTCGTGGTCCTTGGCGGCCGAGTGGGCGGCGGCGCGGTTGGAGAGGAAGACGGCGTTGCCCGGGTTCAGGGCGAGGGCCTGGGTGTAGAGGGAGATGGCGGAGGGGTAGTCCTTGGAGGCCATGGCGGCGTTGCCGCGCGACTTGAGGGCCTCGGCCTCCTTCTTCTCTGCCTCGGTGGGGACCTTTGAGGAGGAGGAGGCGGCGGCGCCAGCCGGGGCGCTGGCACCGGCGGCGGGCGTCGTCGAGTTCTTGAGCTTCTCGTAGACGGAGTAGATCTGGTAGAGGTTCTGAGCGCCGACGGACTCGGCGAGGAGCTTCTTGTCGGCAGGGTCGACCTTGAAGGTGTCGGAGATGCACTGGATGGCGACGTCGATGGATTCTTTGTCGTCGGCGTGGAGGGTGCCGTCGGTGACCGATGCGGAGAGGAATTCGCAGATGGCGACCGCGAGGCGCTGTTTGGATGTCGTAGCCTGGGGAGAGAGGTGTTCACACGGTCAGCTTCCCGCACGCGCGGCAGTCTTTTTTTCTTTCGACTTTGGAGACTCACCATGTTGAAGGGCTTCCTTTGTGTGTATACCGAGAGAAGGGGGGACGTAAAATTCGGTACGGAGATGGGTGGGGAGGGGGAAAGGGGGTATCACGAAAAAAAGCGAGAGGGTATTGTGGGATGCGAGAAACACAAAATACGATGGACGTTGTTGTTGTTGGTTTTTTTAGGATCAATTCCCCCCCCCCCCTCTCTCTCTCTCTAAAGTGACGATTGGGTTGCGGCTGATGGCGGCGTGTCCCTGTGCTGCTGGGTTTGCGGGCGTTCGTCGTCTCTGTTTGGCTGGAAGGTTCCAGCGGCTACGGTGGGTGCGGGGTTGGCGGCGTTGGAGTCTACTCTCTACTCTACCCCGCCGACTCGGGAAACGCATGCGCCTCATCTATATGCAATTATACGAGTGTGCAATATGTTCAAAGACCATGTTGGACACCATGGCATGCATCTTGTGCTCACTGAGAATGGCTGCTCATCACGCCAAATGGACAGAGTGGATGGAAGCTATCGAAATAGCGGCTCTAGGAGATTCGTGCCTGATATTTCAAACCCCTACTCATACAGAAAAAATAAAGGTATCCGCTCTTAGCCATGCCCTGGCTCCCGTCAACGCCAATGATTTATATGCATGTGTGTACTGCGCTGTTATAGTAATATGCTGCGCCAGAGCTGTTCTTCATGACGAAGAAGAAGATCCCTGGTTCCTCCGCCGGTCCACGTTTCGGACCTTGCGTAGCGGCTTGTTCTGGGCCATGCGGTACTTGGTGTACAGCCGGAAGACGTCGCGGAGCACGATGTACATGCACCCGCCGATGAGGTTACGGCCCCATTGGTCCTGCAGAAGGCCGGTCCGGACTTTGAACCGGCCGAACCCGCCCACCGGCGTGGTCCAGTGCTTAGGCAGGACCAAACGCAGGAGCTCGCCCATGCCGGCCGAGATGACGGGCAGGAGGAGCGTGCCCGCCAGCGCGTTCGTGACGTCCCGGAGGCTGGCCTGGAGGCCTCGCTGGCGCGGGGCGGCGGGCGCCGGCTGGGCGGCTTGTTGGGGCGCCGCCGGTTGCTCGTTCCCTTGCGGTTGCGGTTGTTCGTCGGCCATAGCTTCGGCGATCTGCCTGGCTGCGTTCTCTCGCTCTGCCTCTTCGTCCTCGAGCTCCTCGACGACAATCTGGAATTGAGCAATGCCGTCCTGCTCCCCCATCTCGGCCGCCTCGACCTCGACCTCCATGGCAACGTCCGGGATGTCCAGCATGTCAATGGCGGCACCGAGCAGACCTCCCATGATACCGACGTTTCGGCCGCCACCGTCGTTGTCGGCGCCGTCGTTATTCCTGGCCCGGCGCTGGCGGTTCTCGTTGGGCCGGTTGATGGCTGGCGGCGTTGCCGGCTCGGGCAGGCCTGCTATCGTGCGCTCCCATCTCCTCTCGTACGGGCAGATGAACTCGTGGTAGAGGTTGTTATAGACGGCTCTAATGTACGGGAAGCACGCCGCGGCGAGTTGAGGGGAAGGCGGCCAGGAGAAGAAGTGGTCGTCGCGCGCCATGTGAAAGACGCCGTACTGCATCGTCTTCGTTAGCGCCGCTGCGGGAAGGAGGGCAAAACATGGGGTGACTTACCAACGCAGCCGCCGGCATAAAGAAGACGTTGCCCAAGACGGGGAACGACTGGCTCAGAAGCAGGGCAGGCGCAATCGTAGGTAGGATGGCAACATGGATCCAGTTGACCATGGGCATCCCCCTGGGATTGCTGTCGTTGAAGAAGAACCGATACGTCGCCTCGGGCCCCGCGAAGACGCGCACGGCGATGTTGCCGTACATGGCGAGACCGACCCACGTGCCCGCGCCTAGACCACCGAGGATCAGTCCGGGGGAAACTTTGCTGAAGGCCTTGTGAATGTGGTTGTTCAGCGCGAGCGCCGGGTCGTAGGGCTCGTCTATATTGATGGCGGCCTTGCAGACTGGGCACTGGATCTCCTTTCCCTCGCGCTCCAGCTCCGTCACCCACTGGATCATGCAGTCCTGGTGGCCCTCGAGGGTGCAGGGGCACGGGTTGACCCACGCGGACTCGGAGGCGCCGGACTCGTTTTCGTCCATGAGGCAGATGAAGCATCGCTTCTCGCCATCTTGTGTGGCAGCGGGTTGAGTAGATGTGTCGGCCATGGTGGACAGGTCGGCGAAAGAGGGGAGATGTCGGCGATGGTCGGCTCGTCAAGGAGGGGGGTAGGGTCGTCTGCCCGAGTCTGTAACCGAGCGCGAGCAACGGGGATGAATTAGCGGATAACTGCGTTAGCTAGCGCATGTTAGATACTGAAGAGAACGTATGCAGCGTATCCTCTCGGACTCCGGAAACACAAAAAAGCAAGGAAGCGGTGGTGAGATCGTGGGGTTTGTACAGAGAAATGTGGTGTTTTTCCCAGGCAGCCTTGATTGCTCACTGTTCGGCGATCGACAAGCAAGCTTGGGCCAGTGTGTGTGACATCAACTGCCCATCCAACGGGTGACTTGGGCCGAGGCGCAAGGGTGGGGCAAAACGGTCGACATGTGGCTTGACGTTTGTCCCCAAGCGTGGCTGCACAGATGGTACGCTGTCAGACGGATCTAGTTTACGCCGCATTTTGACTCCAATGGCCACGTCTTGTACACTATAATCCTACTTGGTGACCAAATCTAGTATAACTTGACTTTCTATCAGGCAGATTTATAGCTTATATTCTCCAAACAAGCTCCACACTCCCCCGAAATTCATCTCTCACTCGACTCTTAATTCGCCATGGTCTCCTCGCTGCTCCTCTCGCGGCCGAGGCCTCTGAGGTCATGAAACACGTTGGACTGCAGGCCCCGTCCCTATATATTGATTTCACCTCTGGCCCAATGATTGATAACCAAGGCTGGACCTCGCCAGTGTACGATACCATCATTCCACCGTGCTTCTCCTTGGTGGCCGTGGTAATTACCTGGTACATGCCATTTACGCAGTCTTCAACCCTGACGGGGGCCTCTTGCATGCCGAGCTTGCGAGCACTTTCGTTGCCCATCTCCGTCTGGGTGAACCCAGGTCCCAATATAAAGGTATTGAGCCACTCGTCCTCGGCGTTGATTCTGACGCCGTACCAGTTCAGTATGCACTTGGGTGCTCCGTAAGATGCATTTGGAATCGAAGGTTGGCCTCGGTTGTACGGTCAGCGATCGGATCCGCGAGCTCGCTCAATCCACCTTGTCTTGAAATCTTACTCGAGAGAGCCAGCAGCAGATCCAACAAGAACAAGCATTGGCTTGCCAGTGGACTTCTGTAACAGATCACGCGTAGCTTGGTACAGTGATACAGCGCTATACGTGTTGACATTGATATGCTCCTGGATCTCCTCACGCTTGACGTCCTTCACCAAACGAAAAGAAGTCGCAATGGCGGCGTTTGCAATGACGATGTCGAGATGGTCGACCTTGTGCTTCTCCCGGAGCTCCTTCGCCAGGTAGAAGGCGTCCTGCTCGACCGCAGCGTCGTACTTGACTACGATGAGGCCGCTGCCGTCGCCTTTGTGCAAGTCTACGAGCGACCTAGAGGTCGCGTGCGTGGGGTCTCGGACGGCGACGATGACGGTCTGGTGCCGTGTTAGTTTCTTTCTACTGCAGATCGTGTCTATGACGAGGCAGGGGCGGAGATTCCACATGATTTTCCTGCTCAAGAAACCGCGTGACGAGCTCCCGGCCCAAGCCACGGTTGCCGCCAGTAATTAAAAGGAAGCGGGAAGTCATTTTACAGATAGCAGCCGAACGGGGCTCTTGAGAGAGTAAAAGATGTGATTTTATCGACGGCGATGAACAAGACTACGAAGATCACTCATTTCTCAGGACACATTAGCGTCCAGTTCCTATTATATTCACGTACAGAGTCAAAAAGTGTCAATCAAAATGGTGCGTATTGGCATAGGTACGCAGAGCTGGCAATTACAAACCGTTTACCGTGACAAATTGACTACAAACATTAGTTATCATCTCTCTTGCAGTTGAATGTGAAATAACGTTATGATCACAGCACCACAACAGCTTGGCTACATAAAACCACTCTCTGTCTTCTTTAGTCGTAAAGATTAGACCCCTGCTTAGTACAGTGTCTCGTCAGACATAAGCACTTTGCTGTATCTGGTGTGCGTTGACTTAGCCGCAAGGGATTGGCGATTATAAATTGTTTATCATGACAAATCCACTTGCAAAACGTTGCTTATCAACCTTGCGCTTGGGTCTGGTATAACGTTATGGACAACATGGTGGCATAGCAGGAGTTCCACGAAAACACTCTACGGCTGTTTAGACGTTGGAAACGGGTGTTAATCCGGAAGAGGCATGATTGGATGGATAACACTTGCGGCGGATTGAGTGGAGGCGTAGCATATCGCAAGGCATTCACTGCATTCCAACTTGGAGCATACAGACTGTATAATGATACGGCAGTGCTGATGAAAGCCGGAAGCCCCGTCGCGTGCATCAATCTAACAGAAGGCTCACTGCGAGGCCCAGAACTTCACCGATACAACCTTCCACAGCCACGTTGGGAAGAATAATCGTCATTCAAGCTTGGCCAAAAAGGCGCACACGCTGAGCCCGCTGCTCACGACGGTGGACCATGGCACGCAGCGGCAGCGGCGCAACCCAGCCTTGGGGTTTTTTACCCCCTTGATAGACAACACCCGGAAGCTGGAGCCCATCATCAATGCCGCCATAACCAAGTTTCTGGCTCGGCCAGACGTGATGGCGGCAGACGGGCAGGCTTGGCGCTCTTGCAGATTCACCGCGTCTTCGAAGCCTGCACGAGCGAGTGGCGACGTCGTCGCCGTGTACGCCGTCGGCGATTGTTTCAAGTTCTGTTTCGACCGCGCCGGTCTTCTCTTCGACCTCGACCACGCGACGATCTTCTTTCCCCGGGTTTTGTGCCTCTCGCATCCAGAACACTAGGAGGAGTCTGTTGGCGGTGAGAGGGGGGCCAGCCATGGGAGTAAAAAAACATGTCTCTGCACGATCTTCATGCTTGTGTCTGCGAACCGCACATCTGCACTGATTCAAAGCCTGCCTTGGATGCCACCGGTATCGTATCCAACCCGTCGTGCACTGTCTGTCTTGTTTCGTTGATGATGGTTGGCGAGAATAATGAATCGCTCTCAGCGTTTCGTTGTGGATCTTCGTTTCCAGAAACAACGGTTTGAGGCTCTGCACGAGGTCTCAACCCCTGCTGCACTGCACTTGCAGCTTGATGCCATGAAGTGTTTGGGGTTTCGTCAAGAGAGTTTTGTAAAGCGGTTGTGCCGTCAAGACAGAAGGATGACTCGTGAGTAGGCGGGGTCTAGAGATCGTGAATAGCATCAAACACCCGCGCGAGTCTCGACTGCAAGTCATCGGGATGATGTGGGACGCCGGCCCCCGCTCGAGAGGTTCCCTCCTGGGCGTAACCCTGGGAGCGGCAAACAAGGAGGATAGGAAAGCAAGGGAGACGCGGGACCAAGCACGAACTCTCCGGTCACGTGGGCGTTCTTCGGCAATCCGATGACACCCGCTGCGCTGGACGGACGAGACCTTGGGTCGAGTTGCAAAAAAGTGCTCAACTAGAAACCAAGAGCTGACGGCTCACTATCGAGGGTCCGCCTCATCACACGGGGATGCCGAAAGCCGTAGCGCCAAATGCCGTCCCCGCTTCATCAGAAGGGCGTCAGTGCATGTCGACGAGTCAACGATGGGTTTGGTTTGCCGTAGCGATACATGTAAAATGCAGATACAATCGAAGACACGGGCCTGGCCCATCCACACGACAGTGGGAACACAGTCATAAACCCGGCCTAAAGCGAAGCGGTAATATTGAATGGTTTACAAACTGATTACAAGTGTGGGGGGGGGGGGGGGGGGGACTTGGGATGACCCTCTCTTGGCTTACGAGTTGTGTATGTAGTAGGCTAGAACACGTTTGTTTGGCGATCAAACCTGGACAGGGACGAGGAACTTTTTGATGACTGGATTTTTTTCTAGAAGGAAAGCACTCCTTACTCACGTATCCGGCAGATTTGCAAAGGGAAGGGAATTGTTTCTTGCCAGGTTTTGTTGGAACACTCTGTGATACAATTTCGCGTTACAGGGAAACCTGAGAAAACCGGGAGGATTAATTACATGTTCATTGGCGGGATTAGTACCTGAGCCTGCACCCTCAGGTCTGGATATGACAATTGCTTTCGAGACCATACGCAGTGTAAACTCATATCTATGTGCAACCCTCCCAGGAGGCTAACTTTGTTCGAGCCCATCTGCAGATCTGCCGAGCTTCCTTGCTGGTGTCATTTCCTTGGTGGGCCTAGTGCAACGTTTGTTCCCCATATCGCCCAATAACGCACGCGGTGGATACACATTGCAGGATGTACATAGTAGTAGTAAGCAAAACCGCTGGCGATGAGGACTAGTCAGTCTGCAGACAGGGACGAAACCCAGCCTGAGATGGCCGCGACAGGTCGGCCTCCAGATCTGTGCTGTAATTGAGGGTGTCCTCATCAGCCCAAAAACATGTTTCGTCGGAAGTGCACGACCTGGGGGCATCACGTCAACCGAGGGGGGGCAGAAGCGGGATTCAACTCGTTTTGAGCAGAAATGGATGGTCGTGCCATGCAATTCTCCGCTGCAAGAACCGGGGGCGGCCTCCAACGACTTGTTATTCGCTTCTTATTACTCAGCATCGTCTCAAATCAATCCCCTCCACCCAAACAAACCACACACAGTTTTGGACTCTTGTTCACTGCCAGACTTGCCAGAGGGTGGGTGTGTCGGGCCCAAGCCACCCTGGGCTGGGCTGGGCTGAGAGGCGACTTCAGCCACGTCTGAGACTGGAGCGTTGGTCGTTGCGTCTCACTATTTTAGACAGAGAGCGTCGGTGAGTGCTACCATTGGTGGCAAAGACGCACAGGCTTTAAATAGCATAAACGGCTCCCCGGCACGGCACATCGGAAGGTCGGCGTTCACCCCAGGAGACGAGCTGCGGGTCAGCAGGGGGGGAAGAACGTACAGTGGGGTGCCAAAAGTCTCGGCACACCCACTAGCTTCTCAGCCACCAACATTATGACTGCATCACTTTAACCAGCAACAAAACCATCAACTCTATATGTGAGAACAAAAGGCTTGTATATCAGCCATAATATACTGAAGTTGTGGGAAATACAAGGAGAGGAGGTGAATGTTGGAGGACGCGTTGTGACGCATTATCGAGTGGGGTGTACCTTGATTTTTGGCACCCCACTGTACCTATAGGGCTTATTCGTGCCGTGCGTGCCTAGTGTACGAATCAATTATTGTGGTACGTAAGCCAGCACTAACGCCATGATAGTATATCGTATAGTACATACAGCCTATCCCGGCACGCCCGTCACCCCCTCAGTTGTGGTGGCAGTCGGTCGTGTTAATGAAAGGTGCCAACTCCAAGCAGACCATCAACCAACCGACCAGGCGTCTCCACACCGCCGAGGGACACCGGGTGTGTGGTGTCTGTGGTTGGCTACATCCTCAAACATACGTCAGCCTCCTTGAAGTCGGGGTGGCTGTGGTGCAGGTGGGTGGTTGGCTCCGGCTCGACTTCTGCAACTCGGGGGTGTGGATGGCCAAGGGGTCCTCCCAGCAAAGCTAAAACACCAGGGATCCATGTGACGAGTGACGAGAGGCCATCTCGTCGAATTCCTGGTTCTCTTTAATGGGGATGTATGACCCGCTGCGGAATAAGGGGCTGGGTTGGTGTTCACCTCATTGACTACTGAATACACTATCATCATCATCTTTCCTCTTCTTCCTTCCTCTCCCGGAGTCTTTCTTCTTCTCCTTCCTCTTGTCCGACCAGTAAATACTACATACTATCGTTGAATTCTTCATTTTCTCGCGCCGGCTCGTCTTACGTTCATAATACGCACAATGGCGTTTTCCTTCGTTCGTCAAGCGTCTCTCGTTGCGCTCCTCGCGACCTCGACCATCGCTCAAACCTTTACCGACTGCGACCCTACCAAAAGTAAGTGCGATAAAGATGAACATTTACCATTGACCCGAGGGGGGTTTTCGCGATCCATCGATGCTTTTGGCCTCACACGTCATGACCTTCCAGACTTGCACTAGAAGAACTCTATTGACATAAGGCTTACAGAAACATGTCCCGCCAACCCCGGCTTGCCCCAGAGCAACTACGAAGTCGACTTCACCAAGGGCGCCGATGATAGTAACTGGAAGGTCGCGGCCGGAAAGGTCTCATACTCGGCCGACGGCGCCCAGTTCGTCCTCGCCAAGCAGGGCGACGCCCCGACCATCGAGACGGCGTGGTACTTCTTCTTCGGCCGCGCCGAGGTCATCATGAAGGCCGCCCCCGGCACCGGCGTCGTCAGCAGCGTCGTCATCGAGTCCGACGACCTCGACGAGGTCGACTGGGAGTGGCTCGGCGGCAAGGACGCCGAGGTCCAGACCAACTACTTTGGCAAGGGCAACACCTCGAGCTTCGACCGCGGCGCGTTCCACAACGTCGACGCCTCCCAGGGCGACTTCCACAACTACACCATCGACTGGACCCCCGACGCCGTCACCTGGTATATCAACAGCAACCTCGTCCGCACCCTCAACTTCGCCGACGCCGTCGGCGGCAAGAACTTCCCCCAGACCCCGGCCCGCCTGCGTCTCGGCATCTGGGCCGGCGGCGACCCCACCAACAACCCCGGCACCATCGAATGGGCCGGCGGCCCGACCGACTACTCAAAGGGCCCCTACACCATGACCGTCCAGAAGGTCGCCATCGCCAACGCGAACCCGGGCAAGTCCTACACCTACAGCGACCAGACCGGCGACTGGCAGAGCATCAAGGTCGAGGCCGCCGACGCCAGCACCGGCGACGGCACCAACTCGGGCCAGAACGACACCTCCGCCGCCCCCGTTTCTCCTTCTGCTGCTCCTGTCTCTTCACCTTCTCCCGCCTCGACCCCGGCGCCTGCCTCCGCATCCAATGCGCCGGCCTCCGCATCCAACGCGCCGGCCAACTCCACCGGGGCGAAGACAAGCATGCACACGCCCACTGCCACCTCTGCCAGCGGATCCAGCGCGTCGGCCAGAGCGTCGGCCAGCGCGAGCTCCCCTGCTAGCGTCAGCGCCGCTGCTGGCAAGATGCTCGGCGGCCCCGCCGTCAGCGCCGGCCTGCTTGGAATCGCTCTCGCCGCGTTGGTTGGCCTGCTCTAGATAACATATCGCAAATCTGTTGTAACGATTACTGTGTATGACGTTTCTTTTTCTTTTTCCTTTTCCCTTCAACTAGTTTAGACGATAATACGGGGCCGACAAAGGCCTACCGTTGACCATGTTCATGACGCGAGACCTAGACTTTAACGAGCCTTTCTCTTATTCAAATATCGATTACTGTCGTTAAACGGTTGGAGACTTTGTTGAAGCCCCCATCAGCTCGATGATCGCCATTGCCTCAAGGGCCTTCCCCCGTCGCCTCGCGACCGGCTTCCATCTGGGAAAGAGGAAGGCTCGAGATGGATCAGGACGGGTGTGTTATGGAGACCATTGGCCCAGTGATATAAATGCTCTCAAGTTCAGCCCGCTTTCCATGCCTGGGCTCACAAAGCAATATCAACGATTTGCGCCATGCTCCGACTGTTGAGGGGGGGGGGGCCTAGATATATGGTTCTTGCAGATTTCATGCTTAGTTTCAACTTGGTAAAAAGCGTTGCGGCTCGGATTATGTGGATATTCCAGTCCAAATTGCCGGGACAATATTAACCATCGCAGAGACTTGACTGTGCTAGCAGTGAGACCTCATGTTCAAAAGTGACCGCTTGTTGTCAGCGCTAGGGAAGATACGAATAGAAATAAACAATTCCCAGTTATCACGTTTGCTTCCTCTTGTAGCCAACCGCAAATCACTGATCTCCAATGATACATATAAACCACCTAGATAGAAGGAATCGTCTTACATCCAGTTATGATTTCCACTGCTCCGTACCCCATTATAGGTCTGGCCCAGATATTAGCAGCGCCTCTTCCTATACTGCATCTCAACATGTCTATACAGTACAAAACACCAGTAACACAGGGCAACTGCCGATTCTGTAGTCTTGATTCTTAAGCCCTTCGCCAACTTCTGGCCAAGGCATCTACCATCAAGCTGTCCAATGTCTGTTTATACGTTCCTTTATATCTTGCTCACGCCCAAGTCTTCTTAACTAACGAAGAGTTACTCCTTGACGTGCCATTTCGACAGCGCCCTAGACCCCATAGAAAGACCATTCTCAGACCCAATCCGTCGCGAATCCCCCCGCCAAACCACGACCATTAACATGCCGATAATCAAGGCTTCTACATCTTGAGTGGCGGTAATCCGTACCGAACCTAACAGGGAGTGGCCTCGAGCGCCCTAAAACTACAACTGCTAACTTTGCAAGGACGGCATAATTTACACCACTAGGCAGTACTGCTCCCCCAGCTTGTTTGAGCCAATGAAGGTATTCTAAAGCGCTAGCGCGACCACGTGAATTCTCCGGGCGTTAGGAACTTACCTACGCCAGAAACCCAGACAGAGGACCGCTTCACCCGAAGCACGCTTCCTCAGGCGAAGGGTGTATCCTAGCCCAATACCAGGCTCCTACCCAGGTACTACATTCCTAACCCAGACAAGACAAAATCGTCAACATAGACTCAAGTAATCCCTAGCAAAACAGACTCCAACACTTACGATTGCAAAGTTCGCGCCTTAGCCAGGCAACTTCCTCAGCCACCGAATTCTAGCACCTTAAAGTCTCTGCGGCATGGAAGGAGCACGCGGATGTATTCAGAATATTCATCACCCTAGAACAAGAGGTATTTTTCCAAGAAAACCAAAGATCTACTAGTGAATTCATTTTAACGTCAGGTTTACGCCGCAAAAGGACTGTAAGCAGGACTATAGACCCAGGGGCTCAACGACGTGTAATCATTACATCGCTTCCGAAAACCATCGTTGAGCACGAGCTTGATAGAACAGCCAAGGCTTAGCTTCGCTTCACCGTGGCCTCGAACATGACAATGAGACGTACCTTCTGCAACCCGTACGGCCACTTTAGCCTTGGTAGATAGTTCTAGGAGGTTGTAGCATCTGATATGCTCCTCGGGCTGGCAGAATACAGAGGGCAGGTTCCAGCTAGTGTCATGGGTAAACAATTGTCACCCGTAACGTGATTATCAAAAGAAACTTAAACGCTGTTCCCTAACTACGTCACAAAGCGGGATGATCTAATTTTGTCTGAAAAGCTGAAGTTGTGTCACAGAAACGCCTTTTGCCTTTGGAGTGACAAGCTAGAGTGTAAGTTGCTGCACAATAGAAGCTCTATAAACACGAAGGAAAACCACAGACCTCGTCTTACGTCCTCATCCGAATGAAACCATGTCTGGAGAGATTCCATCTGTCCATTGACTATTGGATGCTTTCCATCTTCTGGTCGTGATGGACCAAAAAATGCTGTCAAAGTTTCATCGTAGTTACTGATTCCTATAAGTAGATTGGAAGCGCACTTGCTATATTGACTCTAACCAGAGAAACAGAGTCATTGAATTTGGCAAAGGTATACTCAATTTTGGACACACGGTGCTCCATATTGCCCCAAGTTGTCCCAGCCTGTACACCATACCTACAAAAGCTACATCGGCCTTTGCAGCAGAAGTTTGCTAATGATTGACACATTTGAGATATCGTATCACAGTTGAAATCATTCCCGAATCAATGCTGATCCTTCGTAGTTCTCTCAAACGTCTACATTGGAGCTTGATGTGTGGTGAAATGTTGCTTCAAACATGTGTTCACAGCGTCTGCACATTCTACCTCGCCATAATAATGCTTCAACTCAGGCCAGCCACGACGATG